GTATAAAAGTTGATCCCCCGTCATATGTGTACAAATATATATATATAATATATGTGTATAATATAGGTACAGTAGACCCCAAGATTGGTCGAATGTGAGTCTCCCCCCACCTCAAGTCGACCCACCAGAAGGAATATAACCGTTACCTAAAACCCCCATGTATCTCAACCAAACGAAGGGGAGCATCTGCTGGCGACCTGTCCCAGGTGCTGGTGACAGGAAAGCTATCAGGCTGATGACCCGCGGGGACTGCATAGGCTCTTTGGGTCTACTTTGGACCGATGGAGATGGTTGAATTGGCGATGATCAACATACTGCTAAGGAATCCGCTGGTGAGCCACTCTAGAAAGGGTTGATCATTGGTCAAATGATTGCCACTTGGCGTTGCTTAAGTTAATTCAGTCTAATCTTTGGAAGGGCAAGTATCTTTGCCTTGACCATTGCTCAGCACTACCCTGTTATCTTAGCAGGACCCAGGACCCAACAAATATCAGCGGCTGCGCGATGGGTGGAGGAAACAAACACAGTGGCTTCCAAGACCCTTTTGACACCATTTCTTTGAGGAATGTCTCAGAATCTGTTCTGCACAAACAAGGGATAGTCGTGCCATCCGGTCTCCAAATTCAGAAAACTAAACGGACATGAACTCATCCAATCCAACAGCCTTATCCGCCCAGACTTGTCTATATAGCTTCTGATTATTCGCATGCGACTCTCTCTCTCTCTCTCTCTCTCTTTCTCTCTCCTCCCAGAAATCGGATCTCAGGCGCGAACAGCGAAGTGCCGACCTCAGGACCTTCAGGGCAACACGCTGCTGCCACTGCAGTGGACCAAAGGAGGCAGCCCGGAAATGACGGGCGGTCAACATCTGTTAGGCGCCAGTGGGAACTTTTTGGGTTGATGGGTACGCAAGGTATCTCTATTATCGGCAACTAGTTCAACTATAGTAGACCCTGACCCACAAACTACTCCAATATATCCGCCGACCCCAGCCTAGCCGCAGCCTAGGCGGGAGGCGCCTGGGACACCGCAGGGTGCAACCTTGGCATTGGCATCTCCACCTTTGTGGGCTTAAGCAGGGGCCACAGCTAGCCTGTCCGAGGCCACGCAGCGTAGGCATGGCCTGGGCTGCCACGTACGGTGCTAGCAGCCAAGGCCAGCCTCTTCTCTAATATGCTTCCGAAGGCGACGGCCCCCCTCAAACCCTCCGCGGCGCCTCGCAGGGTGCAACCTTGGCGTTGGCATCTCCACCTTTGTGGGCTTTAGCACAGACCACAGCTAGCCTGTCCGAGGCCACGCAGCCTAGGCATGGCCTCGGCTGCCACGTACGGTGCTAGCAGCCAAGGCCAGCCTCTTCTTTTCTATGCTTCCGAAGGCGACGGAACCCCTCAAACCCTTCGCGGCGCCTCGCAGGGTGCAACCTTGGCATTGGCATCTCCACCTTTGTGGGCTTTAGCACAGGCCACAGCTAGCCTGTCCGAGGCCACGCCCTTGGAAGAGCGAGGCGATGATGGACGAGGAAGGTCATGTGGGAGAAGTGCGGGGACGAGCGCTGACGGTCTTGTACCTGGTGTCGTCCTTCGGGTTCTCAGGTTCGCCAGGGAAATGGACCCCGTGGGGGCGCGCAACGGAGGAGTTCCATCGCGCACATCGCCCGGGACTACCTCGTCGAGATGGTGAACTGGGCTTTGACTGCAAGATCCTGGTCGACGACGCGGTGTTGGTGGAGCCGGTCCTGGGCCTTCGCCCTTGGGTGTCAGCAGCCTGTTATGAGACGGGCGTGAGACAAATGTTGGGCCGGGAGGCCGTGAACAAGGAGAAGGACGCCATCGAGGGCCAGTTCAAAGCCGAGCAAGTGATATGGGGACTCACTATGAATGCCGACTCGGAGAAGGCCTTCCTCCCTGAGTGAAGGATTCTGCGAGGTTCCCACCTCCTTGGAGATGGAGCTTTTGATGTGGGTGAGAAGCGAGTCACTGTCCGTCAGATTCAGCAGTTCCGGGGAATCACAACTGGGTGGGCGGCGGTCGTAAGGGGCCTGGCCAATGAGTTGAAGGCGGCGGACATCTTCCTTTCGAATGATGAGGGGGGGCTCCCGGCACGACCTCGCCGACTGGGCTATACAAGGACGAGGAGCTCGAGACGGAGGACGCATGGGAGGACTTGTGGAGCCTCTTCGAGGTCTGCCGGTGGCGGTGTGCGAGGTCAGACCGTTGGGAAACTCGCTTTGGCACAACCTTGAAGGAACTGTTGCCGGTGAAGGAGCGCCTCTCTCTTCCCAATGAGTGGCAGGAGACGGTATGGGTTTCATCGGACGCCACCACCCAGGTCATTGGGGCCATCGATTGGACGTTTGGGGCGGCAGCCCGGGCAACGGTGAAGGACTTGGAGCCATGGCTCAAAGGAGTCGCGGAGCAGGAGATGCAGAACGACGGAGACATGATGCTGTCGCTGGTCGCCTTCATGTGTGAGAGGGGGCCGATGTGGCGTGGCAAGGTGGTGCTCTATGCGGGGGACAACTCCACGGTCAGGCAATGGGTGAGCAAGCGCCAAAGTGGGTCGAGGGCTGGAAGATTGCTGGTCCGCGTGCTGAACTTGCGCGAGATGAACTATGGCTTCACGCTGGTTGGCGGCTGGTGGAGGACCTACCACAACGTCGACTCTGACTACATCACCCGGTGCACTGACGACGAGTTCGTGGTGATGCTGGAGAAGAAGAGCTGGACGAAGGTCGAGCTGGGGCCGGCTATTTCCAAGGCCATTGAAGACACAGCCCGCTTCGGACCTTGTTTTCTCTCGTGGCATGACCCGGAAGATCGCCAAGTGATGCTTCAGTTGAAGGAGAAACGCCTCAAGCGCTTCATTAACAAGCCGGTGGGAATCCCGTGGGAGAAGCTAAATGTCATCGAGCTGGTCAGCGAGGACAGGTGGCGGAAGGACTTCGAGAGCCTGGCGCCAAGTCAGCCCCATGCCAAAGGCAACTTCACCGTCGTGGTCCCCACCTTGCCGGTCGATGAGAAGGGGGTCCTGGTCGCCAAGTTCATCAAGGAGGTCGCCAAGCTCCAGCCTTTTGTTGTGATCTGGGAGGGCCCGAGATGTGCGCCCTGGGAGCAGGCGCGTGAAGGCCTTGAGGCCAATGGTCTTCAAGGCGTTGTCATCGAGTTCGTGTCCACAGAGTTAAGGGGAGTTTCTGGCACGCAGGAGACGCTGTCTGGTGGGAGCACGCTTCGAGGTGACAGAGGAGATCGTGCAGAGGTGCCTTGTCAAAACGGTGACAGCCTCACCCCTTGGAGCCTCACTGGAAAGGGCGAGCCATAGCCAGGAGAACCCGGCATCCACAGGGCCTTTGCTGCCACAGGTGGTGGGCCATGCTTGGGACTCACCCCAAGAGGGGAGGATCAATGTGCACGGGATGGCGGGTCCAGGAAGGTGGCCGTTACGGGCGAAGGATGGAAGCTTTGAGGCGCTGGAGGTCTACGATCGACGAGGCCGACCAGGGCACCTTTGTGCACTTCAAGCTCGCGAAGTGTGGGTGTGCCAAGGACGAACCGGCTCGGCATGGGATGAGCTCATCCGACAGGGCCGAACAGAGAAGGAGGTAGCGGATCAAGGCAATAGAGCCACGGGCATTCAAGTGACTTCCAACTTGCTGGTGATGGCGGGTGCTTTGGTTGAGTTCGGGGAGATCCTCGAAGAGGGGACAAAGGCTGGAGCCATCGGTAATGAGCCGTATAACCTATCCATGGCCAAGTTGCTGGCCTGGCTCCGCAAGTGGAAGCATCGCCATTTTGGCGCGGGGGACATGTTCGGCGGAGATGGACGTGCTGGCGGTGGCCCACTCAAACGCCCTGTCTCAAGATTGGGCGAGGCCCTATGGCTGTCGTGTTTCGACGGAGACCTGGACACGGAGGAGATGCCCGAGGTGACGATGAAGGAGTACTTCAAGGACACATCCGCTGGGGGCAGACGCCCAAAGTCTGTGAAGCCTGCTCAACTGCCAGCTGACCAATATGTGCTGCTGGAGCCCAGGAAGATTCCTTTCGATGGGTCAGTTCAGACTCATGTGGAGGAGTGGCTCGAAGAGAACATTGCTCGAAGCAAAGCAGCCACCACCTTGCGGATGTACCAATCCGCGTGGGGAAAGTGGGAAGCGTGGGCGGCCCGGCAAGGTTGGCCCTCTTGCTACCTCAATGTGAAGGGAGACAAGCTGGAGAACGAGGACAAGCTCTTGGCGTTCCTGGGCTACCTTGGGTGGCTGGGCACTACAGCGGCTTCCATCAAGCAGGCGCTGTTCGCGGTGAAGGACGGCCATAAACGGGGAGGAGCAGGTGACCCGACTGAAGGGATGTTCAGGGTGTGGATGCTGGTCACCTCGCTGGACCGACACGCTGAGCGCAAGCCTCGACGTCTGGGTGTGACACCTGGAATGCTAGTGTGGGTTGGGAAGAGCCTGTGCAACAGCGACTTGTTCGGGGAGGACCAGGTCGACAAGGCGATGGTGCAAGCGGCCTTGCTGGTGGCATGGTTCTTTATGCTTCGCGCCAAGGAGTACTGCGACTCCGGGGGTGTGGACGCCCACATGATCATCCGGGGCATGGACGTCAGGCTCACCAAGAACGGAGGATGTGAAGGAAGGAGCAAATGAAGTCACGCTTCAGTTCCGCAAGACAAAGGCGGATCAGGAAGCATTCGGGTCTTGCAAAACCATGGGCTCTACGGGCGAGCTGTTCCTTTGTCCGGTACGAGCCCTTGAAGAGCTACGACTGGTAGCCCAGCGGAGGTTTTCACCAGGCCCTGAAGCTCACTTCCCCCTTTTTCGATGGGGGAATGGGCCCACACTCCGCAGGACGGAGGTTCAAGCAGTGCTACAGAAGGCCGCAACGGCCGAGGGGCTCCCTGAAGATCGCTTCATGAGCCACAGCCTGCGGATTGGTGGAGCAAGCGCTTTGTTCCAGGCCTCGGGCGAGATCGAATTGGTGAAAAGAATGGGAAGGTGGAGTAGCTCTGCCGTGCAGCGGTACCTCTATGATGGTGGAGAGGTACTGAAAGAACTCGCAGGCCGAATGGCCAGAGTGGACAAGCGAATCCACTACACGTAGAACCTTTTTTGGTCTGTGCGCTGACTGGGGGGTTGTGGCATAAAGCCATGACAGGCATGCGACCCTGCAGAGCCGCCCAAACAGCAGCGTATAGACACTTAGCAGGATCCAAAGTAGAAGCTTTGGAAAGCGTCGCTTTTGAGCCAGCTTGTGACCACGCTGGTTTTCCGTTGGGGTTCAAGTGGTGCTTCAGTGCACCCTTTTTTACGGAGACCCACCCTCAGCCACCCTGGGGCTTGTGGCATAAAGCCATGACAGGCATGCGACCCTGCAGAGCCGCCAAAACAGCAGCGTATAGACACTTAGCAGGATCCAAAGTGCCAGTTAATGCATAATCTTTCTGCTTGTAAATTGTGTACTGGGCTGCAAGCCACGACTTGGTGGCTTAGGATACCCTGAATCGCCTCGAACGCAATTGCACGTGTTCCTACATGAACATGGTCATAGCATAGCCTCCAACCTAATAGCTTCCAATTTAATAGCAAGGGCCTCCACCCTACTAGCGATGTCCTCCAACCTAATAGCTTCCAACGTAATGGTGTTGCCAAACGAACGACATTTCTGGAGCTATTTGGAAGCTTCCTCCAGGAGTCTTAGTATGGTCTGCCAGCCGAATTGTAAACTTGGCAACATCAAGACATCCAATCACTTTCTTTGGGGAAACCCTCAATTGCCTTGTACAGAAGCATTGCAGTGAATGGTGCAGTCTCATTCTACGCACTTGCTTCGCAGTCTTTTATGCGCGCCTTGCAGCCAAGTATGGATGTCATAGTAATACAGCCTTGGGCAAGGCGAATAGTCTGAGTCTATCCACTCTGATTCTGCCAATAGTCTGCCAACAAGGACCTTGCGTGGACCCCAAAAATCACCTGTCGCTGTCTTTTTCAGTGAACTACCCTCCCTGCAACAAACGTGGAAGTGGACAACCCCCTGTTGGTAGAGGAGAATGGTCTTTCCAGGAGCCAGGCCATCCACTTCCATGATTGTTGGAGAGAGGGTACACGAAAAGCGCTCCTAGCTTCCCAAACGGCAGTCATACGTGTGAACTCATTACCAAACCAAAAGGGTCCAGGTACCTCCTGAGGCTGGTTCTTGATCAGGATGGCCCTTCTTGGACCCGCCAAAAGCACACCCACCAAATAGACCATAAACATCAACACCTTCCCAAACCCGACCCGTAACCCACAAGAAGCAGCAGGGGACACCTTGCCAAGTGGAGATGAGCTTGAGACCGCTTTCCGAAGATTGGACGCAAAAATACATACCGAACCCCAAAAATGATCTCGGACGGATACATCGCTTGAAAGTGGAAGGATTGATAAGACATCCCACGGTCAAAACCAAAATTGATCAAAATGGAGAGCCATCATAAGTCATCAGAATATTCCAGCTAGAAGGCTTTCAGAAGTGCAGGGGCCGATGCAATCCACGTCCCACCCAGTGTCCGGTCATCCCTTCTCGGGTTTTCATCCAAGGCACTTACTTCCTCAGCCAAGCCGATGAGAAGCACTTCTTCATTCCGTGCACCGTTCTTTGATTCGCTGGAGCGCCTGAGCCGGAGCAAGCCCACGGCCACATCGACTGAAACACATGGAGCACCGACGGAGCAATGGACCGGGCGAAAAGGCCTGACGCCCGGTCTCGCCGAAGGGATTGAAGCCAAGGAGTATGCTACGGAAGCCTCCTCTGCACCGCACCACTTCGGCCAAAACCTGGAGATAAAACATGCAGTGATGCAGGATCAGGTGGTACCTTTGTGGTTGCGGCAGCCAAGTTCACTGCTTACCTGATTATGTTGTTTTTTGTTTTTGATTGAGGTCAGCGCAAACAAAGGACGGTGAGTGAAAAATGACGAACCTGCCCTGCATGATGTCATGAGCAGTTGCATGGCAAGGCGGAAAGAAGGCCTCAATGCCTCCGTCAGTGATGTCGTTGTGCATAAGGTTGACCAAAGTGATGCGCTTGTTCTGGCACAGTGCCTCTGCAAGTGCCTGGCATTGGATTAGCTGCGAAGCCTAACAAACAAAACGCTGACAAAAACAGTGTGGCCTTCACGCCGGCATCTGTGATTCGATTTCGCTGGAGGTCGATCTCATCAACACTGTTGTTGAGCTTCAAGGCATCACAAAGTACCTCGCAATGGTCGCTTTATACATCACAGTCAGATCTTTCATAAGGTTACTACTCTTTAGAGACAGTGCGCTATCCTTTTTCCTCGTTCCAATACTGTGGTTCGTTTAACGCCGGAAGTCAGCGATGATGCGTTGGTATGCTCCAGCTTCACTGGAACCTTCACCTGATCGTTCGGTTGCTCCCGAGCGATTTGGATCTGGCCAGATTCGATCCCGAAGCTGAAGCCACAGGTGAAAAGCATCCCATGATGCAAATACAACAAAAGGAGCGGTAACACCCACGGGGTCCGGCTACCGGAGTGGGCGGGACAAAAGCTACACGGGCGACAAGCCAAAGCTCAGCAAGATGACGGCAGCCTGATTGGAAAGCAGCTGTCCGCATCAGCCAACATACCATGGCGCTGCTGCCACTCCGCCGCCCGAGCCGACAAGGGCACGTCACCCGCTGCCTCTCCTGCGTTGCGCACCTCGCACCTGCGCACGATATGGCGCACAGACCCAGTAGCCCCCGCCAAACACCACAGGCTTGCCGGGAAGGGGAGGTCACCACAGTATGTGCAGGCGGGGGCGGGCAAATTGTGCGAAAGTGGGCAGTGGTGGAGTAGCCAAGCACTCGCCAGTGTCTAGTGGCACTAAGCCCGGACCCCGGATGACGTAAAAGCCCGAAGTGCGAAGATGGGCGAAGACCTCGGCTGTCGCCGTAGAGACCTCAAGAGGTGCCACATCTTTGGGGCAGACTCCAGCGCCACCTGCTGGTCAGCTTGGGCCCCACACAGAATCCCGATCCACGGGAAGGAGTACCCACCCCGGAGACCGACGACTAGGTTGCCCATAGTCCGCATGCCCGTGGGTAATGTTCGAAGACAACCATGGAGCCCCAGAATCCCAAAGGCGACATGCCGGCAAGGAAGTCCTCAAATGTCCTCAACATGGTTGTGAAACTCCGCCTAGGCCGCCGGGGTGATGATTTGAGCCTCAGAATGGAGAGCTGGAATGATCGCCATAGAAGGTGTGGCCCACACACGGCACTGCTGAACCAGTTCCAGACAGAATCTCCACTGTCCGTTCAGGCTCTCCAGCCAAAATGTAGAAGTGTGCCGTGATGATATGCGTGCACGCAAGCCTGCCCAAGACTGACACTATACAATATAGAATTACGTTTCACCTGACCTGAACAGCTTCCAACAAAGCTTGCCTTTGGCGCTCTCCTGAAGCCAGGCCTTAAGATCTTCATCTCCAATGTTTTCTCCACTCAAGTGGATCTTCCTCTGGATACCGTCAGCCTTCAAGGCTCTTGCAAGTCCCTGGCCAGTGTGTTTGCGTGGCAAATACTAAATCGTTTCAAAGTACGCGAAGTTCACGTTGTCGCGGGGGTTCCGTCTTTTGTCACTTGTCTATGTAGATCAAATGATCAAATGCTACCACAAACCCACTAAAGCCCTACTCGTTGTTATGACATGCACTTTGCAGAAGGCTCAGTACTATTCACATCAGGGAATAGAATGTTTGTAGTTGTGAACATTTCACGCAGTGCGTGGTCCTGTAGGCGCGGACGTCCAGGTCGATTGCTCTGGCGTCTTGCTTCTCTGCTCTGGCGTCTTGCTTCTCTCTCTGTAAAAACTTCTGCAGCCTGAAACATAGAGGAACATGTGCGTGGCATTTTCCGCGAGAAGCGTGGATTGCTTCATAGAGACTCACATTGATTCGTCCATGGGCAGAATGTGCAAAATCGAGTTGGAACTACAGCGAATACGCAACAGTACGCAACACATGCTGTGTACGGCCTCTGCAGTAGCCTGGGCAGCATCTCTGTTCGCCTTGAGGCGTTCTTCAACTTGCTGCAGTGCCTTGCGCAACTTCGCTGTTTGCCTTTCCATTCCCTTCGGCCCTTCTTGTCCAAGTTGTTGGTCTTTACTTTTAAGCACATGTCCTAGATTCTTTGTTGATGCTGCCGACTTCGACTTGAATCCAAAAGGAAAGCTTTGAATCCAAGCGCTGGGCCTGGACGCCCACAGCAGACTGATGCTCCCAGTTGAGGTAAATCTCTGTGAGCGTTCTGTTCTGGCTCAGCGCTTCTGCCAATGCCTGGTCGCGGTGTGTCATAGGCAGGACAACAGGAACGGAGCAACCAGCCTGGACACCCACATCTCCGATGTGATTCTGCCGAAGGCTGAGGACTCTGAGGGTGCTATTGTGCCTGAGCGCTTCTGCCAAAACCTGCCAGCGGTGTGGTATTGAAAGGAGGACAAGAAACGGTGCAACGGGCAGCCTCAATGCCCAAAGGACCAAGATCATTGGATTGAACGTTGAGATGCGTGATCGTGTCGTTCTTCTTTAACACCTCCCCGAGTGCCTCAAACAAATACAAACAGGCCAACAGCTCTCAACGCCGGGCCTCAACCATGCTCCGTGAATTTCGGGGTTTCACCCGTTCACCCGTTTCTTCCCCGCCTGAGCGCCTAGGTTCCCGATCCTACAGTCCTCAAGGTCCAGCTCGGACATACAGCTGAAGTTGATCTGCGGAAGCCCCTGGGAGCCCGACGAAGTGATCGAAGACCCCCCAACAGAGAGGAAAGCGCAATCGCTTTCAGCAGAACGAGGGACTGAAGAGTTAAATATGGAGATTGCCTTTGGGAGTTCACCGTGGACACCATGACGTGTTCTTTGCTCTGTGCCTCTCAAATTCCGATACTGACAGTATGATAGAAAACAAAATTAAGGATTACGGACGCTCAATGAAGAACCAGCGATCCATTCTTTCTTGTGTGACAGAACATCTTCCATTTTGGGGGAATGAAACTTCTAGTGTTGTCCTAAACATGGCCTTGGCGATTGCCTCGTGGACGCCACTCCCAACTGCCGAGTTCAGCACCAACTTCTCCAGGGTCAAAGGTTTCAGCGCCTACAAGGTAAATCTTGGCGTCAAAAGGTTCGGTAAAGACCTTGGAATGCTTCTCACATTGCTCAATTCAACGATGTCGGTAAAAACAACAAGGAAACTTGTGTAGTGATTTCTCCGAGGCTTGGCCTGGAAGAAGGCTGTGGCCTCAGCTTTACCCGCTGAGAAAATATTGATCCGCAGGACCTTCAGCTCCTTGAAGTGCAGTAGCGAAGCAGTGAGCTCAATCATATCAGCTTCTGACAAGTCCATCAGATTCAATTGTTTTCGCGCTGTGACCTTGTCATAAAAAATCTTCTTTTGAAGCTGCACAACGTTCTTTGAATCATCCCGATGTGTAAAGGCTGCAGTGTCCATATGCCTCTGGAACATTGCTGGAGCCATTGGCACCTTCTTCATGCGTCCCCTTTCGCCTGGCTCACCATCCACAGCCAGATTCTTCTGTTGGATGCCGCGTGTTGCAGACCATTCAATCTCAGCGCGACACCACCCGCGGCCTCGGTACAGAATGCCGTTTCGCACCAGGAAGCTGAGTGGAACTGGCACCACTGCACCGCTGGGCACATGGTACACCAGGACTTTGTACGTGAAATCTTCCTTCAGAGCAGTCCATAAAGGAAGAGGTGTGAGGCGTTCAAGGCGGAAGGTCATGGTGCTCTGGTGAGCATACAGCATGTGCATGTTGCCCATGGCCCGCCGGAAACTGGCCTCTTGCTCAGCAGAGTGTCGTTGAAATTGGAACAAGGACACATAATCGTAAAATATCCAGAGATCATCAAAATATGCGGCATCGTACAATCCCACACAGCTCACCAGATTCTCCAATTGGAAGCGACACGGATCAGGGTGCTCCCTAGCTTCCCATGCGTGAGACACCGAACAAATCAACGCCTCCCGGTGCCCCAAAGCCCAATCTGCCACTTCCTGGTGGGACACCAAGGCTGAAACCTCCGCACCATTGACTTCACAACATTCGTCTTCTGCCTCTTGGCGTCGTGGCATGCACCTATTTGACCGGAGCAGCTTGTAGAGGTACCTGGAAGGAAAGACCAACTAAGCTTGCTTGATCAACGTGTTACAGCAATGGTCCATGAATCCACATGCACAAACTGAGCATCACTGCACATTGGCCTACATGTTAGGGGGGCACTCAGCACGCACTAATCGGATGTTAGCATCGATGAGGAACTTGGCCAACGACTTTGGGTCTTCCAAGTCGTATTTGGCCTCCAGTCCAAGCTTGGAAGAAGCAAGCATTTGCAACTGCAAGAGCAAAACGATCACAACATACGGCCGCTACGGCCAAAACCTGATGGAAAATCCCTACAGAAACACTTGGATGGCTGTCATCCCCCAACCATCCGGAGGGTTTTGCCTGTGGCTTGCCCCTCCCCACCGCTCCCCTCACGGTGACCGTTCGGGCATTTGGATCTCAAAAGCTCGGTCGACGGCGGCCTTGAGTGGAAGGAGGGAAGGAATGATGTAGCGATATTCCAAGCCTTGACCTGGTCGCGCAAGGCGCGCAAGGCGCCAGAGAGAAGGAAAGGCGGCTGAACAAAGGCGCTGCTGCACCAAGACGGACGGCAGCTGTGGAAAGAAGTCTGACATCCATATGGTCAGTTCGCATTATGAAGCGCGTCAGAACTTTGCTGGGAAAGAAAGCAGGATAAATGACATATATGGTTCATGTTAAGAGGATGCTTCAATTTAGTCAAAGTCTTTCCACGAATAGGAAGCACGAATCTAGTATCCAGCTGTCACCAGCACTTGATGCAACAAGGACTAAGCCACTTTTGCAAAATAGTCGTCATGAAAACCAAAGGTGTTCTTTTCCTCTTCTCTTTCTCTACACTCCCTCGTCCAAGAAAGACAAGCAGCTATTGGAGGGTACATCTTTCAGGATCTCCTGCATACGAATGAAAGGAACGACAGAACTTGCTGCAGAAGACAGCAGCTGAAGGAATCTATCATAAACCCCCTTGGTCAAAATGTTTATATACTCCTCTCTCTTCGCCGCGGGTGAAAGCACGTACGGACAGCGATGATGGAAGAAGAAAAGAACGCGGGGTCCAAATCTCCTCCAATTGCTTCTCTGAGAAGCAACTCTTGCCTCAGCAATGAAATCGGAAAAAAGGAAACATTCCACACTGATAGGCCGACATGGCGCATGGCGCATGCTTGGCCACCCCATTCAATGCAATACAAACAAATGCTGCAACATGGGTGTTGGCTAGCAGCCTTTACCTAGCTGCATAGGCTCCGACTCCATAGCTGCACCATCTTGACAATGCTTGGCCGAGGAAGAACACCTCACAGCTTCGACGAACGGAAACGCACAGAACTCAACCTGGGCCATTCAGCTCTGGTTAAGAGACCGCTGCTTAAGTAACAGTTGATGTTTTGGGGCTGTCACTTGGGAGGCTGAACCCAGGTACTGCAGTTCATGGTATCACTAAGCAAAACAGCAGCACGGCAACACCCTGCAACACTTCTTCCCATCATTTTCAATATGAGGAATCTGATGGCCATGCTTTTCAGATTGCTGCGAGCAACTGTGCTTGATTCTGCTCAAGTGGTGCAGTACGTAACCAACGCAGGCTCACTGATTCTTAATCTTCTAGCCATACCAAAATCCATGCACAAAAAAAATATATATATATATATCAAAATATCCATGTTCATGCCAAAACACCAATCTTCTTGGGATCAAAGACTTGTGCCAAGCGCAATGCTTCCTGTACCTGCATGCGAGGCATCATCACTCGCTTAATTGCAGAAAGCTGCAATAAGTTGCCTAGCTTTCAAACATCAGCTGCTTGCACTATAGAGAGCAGGACCCTCCCCCATTCAGGCCAGCCAAATGAAGGCATTCCACCAAACATTCAAGACTTCCATGCAAAGAGCTGCAAGCTTCCCGCGCCTGCTCCCTGGCACACCACCCAGCAAGCACTTCCTGCCGGCAAAGGCATATTTGGTCAAAAAGGTCACACCGGGATAATTGGCCTGAAGCAGCAGCCCATGTGGGCAGTCTTTGAAGTCTCCGAAGTCTCTAGGAACGTCTCGTGAGGTCAGTCAGTGCTTGAGCGAGTTCTGTCCGACACGATGTATGGTGCAATCCACAAAGCTTCGGAAAGGACCATCAAGTCTTTCAGAATAAGGCATCCCTCTGCAGTTTCTGCTTGGATTCAAGAACACCCCAAAACAACTACCTTCCATTCCCTTCCATTCCCCACTGGTTGGTACAATCTCCTTCATCGTCTGCTGAAAGCTTCGCAAAGTGAGCCGCTCTGGGTGTCCCAGGGAGTTGAGGACCTTCTTCAACAGCTCCACCTGTAGCGGAGCAGTCGGCGGAGCAGTCGGCCGTCGGCAGGACTTCGGGCGACGCAGGACGCAGGACTGACTTCGGCGGTGCAGGACCTGGACTTGGAGGTGCCGTCTCAAGGACTTCAAGAATTGTGGAAAAGTCATGCAAGAGAAACGCATCCTCACACATCCTCTCATCTCCGTTATTTCTTCAATGGATCCACTCAAAATGCCTTCCGGCCTCGAAGTCTGCCTTGTCCATCTGCGCGAAATGGACATCGGCCAAATCCAGAGGTTGTCGAACGATGTCATCCGAAGCGTCCTGGCGATTTGCCGGTGGAAGGCACATCTTTCCGGTCTAAAACCTTCAAATGTCTGGAGTGAAAGGATGGTGTTTTGACATATTCTCATGACTGACCCACGGCATTGGTGAGGAACAGGTAGACTTGTAGATCGCTCACTTGACCTAACTTGACCTACATAAAGCCAAGCAATCGACAAGAACGGGTTGTCCAACAATCTTGCAGGAAAACCTCCAATCACAAGAATGTACCTCAGCTTCCAATGAAGAGCTCTGCATGCTCTTACGCTCTCCGCCTACGGTCAGCGGAAGTTGTAGACGTCAATTTCCTCCCCCGGAAGTGTGGCCTCAAAGTCTTCCAGGTTCATTTTGGCCAGCGCATCAGTCAAATGAGAAGTCTGGATCACACCAGTACCAGGCTCCTGTCATGCAAATCACGCATGAGATCTGGCGTGCCATGTGCTACCAAGGACTGAGCTGTACAACCAAAGCTTGAATCAAACAAGGAGATGTTGAAGGCAGAATTGAACGAAGCGTACTGGTTTTGCAGTTGACGTGGGTTCGTGAGAAGTCTTGCCGCCGCTACATCATGCTGGATGGCAGCCAACAACCCCACTCCTGCAATACCCATCATGGTGTTGCACAGCTTGAAGCTTGAAATCAAAGGGGTTAGAATGAGTTCCGAGCCACCAGCAACAGATCGCCAGAACCCCAAACCTTTGGATGGTAATCGCGCGGAGTAGCTATTCCTTCCAATCTCACAGCTGCTGGAGGCCTCAAACTGTTGGAAGATCTCCTCCAGCAATTCGTCTGGAGTTCTCTGTCGTGCCTCATAGCGTCCACACCGTGGCGTGACGCCAAGCGCGTGGCGCGCGGCGCCGCTCGTGATGATGGCTCGATGGCCAAGTTGGGCGAACTAGGACTGTGCTGGGAAAAGGCTGTGTTTCGATTCGATCAACATTTCTAGGCCCAGTATGGCCCTTGTCATCCTTTGTTGGAGGGAGTGCATGAGACTCATCCGCCACACTTGGAAGGCCTCTTGTTGACCGGAGCCCCATCCAAAGACGCTGCAGAAGCGCCAGAAGGGGCAGCAGCAGTCCATGGCGGAACAGAATCCCTGAACTTACACGTGAACTATAAGGAATCTAAACCTTGGATTCAAAAGCACCCGTTTGCCCCATCTCTGGGAGTGCTTTTCGCTTCTGTAAGGCACTCTGCCTGCCCCAAAAGCCTGACCTTGCCAGCTTGTTTCTCACCATCCGAAATGTGTTTTGTGCTCTAGGCACCAACAGCTTGTTGCAGACCTGATGAACATCAGCTTGAACAGGTTTTGCTACAGTGCTTGTGAACGTGCCAGCGTCCTTCCTTAAGCCTTCGATGAGGCGTCCTTGACGTCGGAGGGCTGACTTCATATGATCTCCTTTTCAGCCAAGGCTTTGTTTCTTCCCACTTCACAGGCGTAAACAGTACCTGAACTGCAAGTGTTTTGTGGATCAACGGTTCAAGTGCTGGAAATGATTCGGACTTCCGGCATACCAAAGATGATCCCTGACTGATGCAGCCCACCCAAGGGGGACTGTTCCTGTTCCAAAGGTTCGTCCAAAAGCTCTTTCTTCACGGCCAGCGCGGCCGACATGTTACATTTCCCCCGGGGCTCCCGTATCACATGCTCCCGATCTGCAGAGTGGGAAGCACATGAGTGGACGGCCTGAGTGAGGGGTTCTCGTTGAGAGTCTTGACTCCAAACAAGTGCTTCTTTCGCATTGCATCCTCATGTTCCAAACATGTGGATACATTTGGCATGTCTTGAGAGACTAGTAGCAAGGGTCAACTTGAACTTGGGATGCCTGCATCGTGCTTGGTCCAACTGTTTGATATCTGATTATATTCCGACATATGTTTATTCTGGCAGCATGAGAAGTCATCAATCTTTTTCAGGTGCATGCACAAAATGGACTTCGTGTTCAACCTGGTGAAACACTGTCCTTCTCAGACGGCTGCTCAGGTGTTCCTTGCCAAGCCTTCCGGGTGCTTCAGGTGTGCAGCTGGAAAATGCTGGAAACCCCACCGCTCAGGGTGCAAGCAAGGTCAGGTTCTGGTCGGCGCCTACCAGGGTTGACACCCCCCCAACAGATCAGATGTTATACACCATTGCTGCAGACCCTGGCAGACCCTGTAGCCTGTGTAGGTGTTTGTTAAGCATGGTTCTTGAGACAGCCGTGGGCTAGGAAGAGGAGTGAGCATCCAAGCATGATGGACTATGCAGTTTCTCAAATCCGGCAATCTACCTGTAGATCCTTCTTAATCTTGAGCGTTCAACGGTGCTCCTTGTTGCTCCGGGTGCCACCAGAAAAACCTGTTCTTTTTTCGGTCAAGTCTCATGAAAGCTGGAACAGCCGGATATTGGGTGAGTTTCCAACAGGATGGGCAAAACGCCCTCCCAACAGCTCTCCAGGCCTGCCGTGACGGTGTTTCCACGCCAAAACACCCGCTAATCACCCCAGTGCTATTCTCGTCTCCAACCTGCTAAAACCCGAAAAGCATCTGCTTGCAGCTTCAACCCCGATGCAGTTGACATCATTTTACCAAGTGATCCGATGTGTCCTTTGACGTGTCAAATTGGACCCAACTTGGGTCACACAGACTGGTCGCCCAGGCCCAAGCCTGGGGGTTGCAATCATTGCTTCCGAGAAGCCAAATCCTGAACTGACTCCCGAGCCATTTCCCTGAAAAATAGATGTGAACCGAGCTTTCCACCTATTCTTGCTAGTAAGGTAGGTGAACCCAAAAAAACAGGCTTTCAGGTGATCCACGTTTCCTGGGTAGGTGAAAACCCCACCCTGCTCGACCACACACAGTCTTCGCAGGCTCCGCCACTGGCTTTTCACCGCTCGTCGATTTCTTCACGTGGGCAAAACAGAGATGCCAGGGAGCGAGTGGTCCTCTAGCCGCTTGCTTCGGTGCCCCAAGTCCTTGTTTACACATGTCTGGACTTCGGTTCTAAGCCTAAGCCGTGTCAGTAAGCCTTCAGCCTTCAGCCTTCGGCCCAGCTGTGCTTTTTGGTGAGGCCCAGCTGTGATGGGAGGTGTTTTGAAAGGCTGGACTCTCATGGACTCTCAGATGGGGCAGCGGCCCGGCGAACCACGCGTTCCATCCGTGGAACGGACGAGATCCAAAACTCGAGGACGCTGGCAGAAGCCCAGATGATGCCGCGACTCGCGGGAAAACACCGCGTCGGAGGGAAGGATGAATCACTGGATGGAATGAGGAATGTGAACTGGACGATGGTTTCCCAGAAATCAATGGTCCTTTCCGCTTCCATGGTCCATGTGATGTGTTTCGTCGGCGTGTACCAGAAGAGCTGCGATGGTGCTGTTGCCTAGTCTCGACCTCTTTTGACCTATTCACTTGCTGGGCCATTTGTTCTGTACGCGCCTACTGTCTTAAGAGATTCCCGGTTCCTATCCCCCTTCCTGTTGGTCATGGGTGTTTGGGTTGTCCCTTCACTTGGATGGAAATCCAACTTTTTGGCACACCGGTCGAGTATCTTGGACCTTGAGCGGAGTCTTCGAAATCAGTTTGGCACATCCGGGCCAGAATCACTGTCCAGTCCTCTCATCAAAGCACCCAATATCAAAACACCCACTCCGGAGGAGTGGCAGCCAACTCTAAGACACTCAGTTCGCTTCCCTCAGCTTTGCCGCCGGAGGTCAATGGAACTGACCTTTCACTTGGCTGTTGGAACGTCCACAGCTGTCCTGTTGGAACGTTCAAACAGGCTTCGCATGTGTCCTCCTGGCCTGGCGACAAGCGGCAGATGCAACATAAACCAGCTGGGAAGTTCCACAAAGACTTTGGACGTGAGAGAGAGATTATGACAAAAAAATAGAGAGCGGGTGGTCATGGGGCCTGGGTTTTGGTTTTACCCAGGCCCCATGGCCACCCCTTCTGAAAAAATAAACATCAAAAAACAACCATCTTTGATTCATCCCTTCATGAAGAAAGGATCAATCAAATCAAACCAGTGTGTTCTCATAAACCTGTTGGTTCCATTGTTAGGACAAACATCAATGATGAGTTACAGGAGAATTCACAAGATCTTCATGGAGAAGCTTCTGGTAATTCAGCACATTGGTACGGTTTCACGGCGTTTTTGCGACTGCCTCCGGACTAAGCCATCATGAATCACACCGCTGAAACCGTAGTCAGACCTCCAACATGCCCCCACAGACCCAGTTGCGCACGAATCGCCAACTACGCATGACACAGAGGTTCAGATATAGATCCACTCAGCTTACTCCTGCAAAGTCCCAGCCATCACGAACAGAAATGAACATACAATGCCACAGAAATCCACCCCGGCAGCTAAACCAGCTATACCATCGATCTGCTCTTCCCACCCAAAAGCCTGCCTACAGCAGCCTATGGCTATCGCAGCTATGGTTTGGAGCCAAAGCTCATCTTCCACCACGCCTCTGGCCTTATGCCAGGAGCTCTTTCAAGACTTCCTCTGAAGGAAGCAAATCGCCCCTGCTTGGGACGAGGCTCGGCCTCCCTCCGAGGAACCTGGGCTTGGCGCCCGCTTCAACGAACAGGAACGCATCTGCATCTGGACATCCCACCGGTCCCACCGGTCCATTGGCCCACTCCGGTGCTGTGTCGAGGTGCTGAAGCTCCCAAAGGCCTTCGCCCAGCTCGTGTTTCAGCATCGAAAGAACTTCCTGCAAATCTGCAAATCGGAGTGGTTCAAAAAAACAAAGACCCTAGAACTATATAAGACAAAGCACATTGAGAGGCATAGAAAGATCGCAAGGACATCAAGGTCTTCGCTGTTCCCCTCGCTTCCCTCAAGCCAAAGCACTCAAGTCTCTAATAATATTCGTAGTCTTGCTGGCAACCCCACAGCTCAGCTCATGCCACATATGAAATGAGGCCCTTAACAACATGTGAATCCATGCTATTGATATTGTTGAGTGCTGCCCCTGTGCCCTTGTACACCGTTGACCCTTCACAACAGCAAATCTCACTCCAGGATATTGCTTTCTGCAGCTCGAAGCTCTTGCGGAGAGTGATCAAGGAACATCCTGGCCAGAGGATGGGTGTCGTTTCAGGCAAAGGAGAGGGGAAAAAAGAACATCCACGCGCCAGAACCTTTCACATCTTTCACCCTTGAGACCATCTTCCACAGTTCGGAAATGTGTCATCCAACCCAGGGAAATTCCTTGATCAAGCACATCCCTGTCATCAAGTCCCACCTTCCCAGAACTGAATTCGTCCTACCACCCAGGAGGACAAAGGTGTTTTTCTGTCGGCACTTGCAGTCCGACGAAGGTCGTTGGTTGCAAGGCAGTCATGGACTTTAGCTCTTCAAAATGCACCAAAGGTAGTCATGATCTTCCTCTCGGCAGCCAACAAAATAGAACTCGGAAACCCTGCCCAACCAAAGATCTCCTGCAAATTCTGCTGAGCAGAATTCGACAAAACCATGGTGACCGGCCACTTCCGTTGCTGGCCTCTCCAAGCTCTTTTGCTCAATGGAAAGCAGGCGATCTTGCCTCCGATCTGCGCGAACAAGCCTTTTGCTTCCGTTGGAGATCATCTGGAAGAGAACCTGGTGAAGATGAGGGTGAGAGAGCTTGCGAAAACATGGTGAACCAAAAGAACACTCCAAAGAAGCTGTACTCAAGATCAAAACAATCTCTCTCCTGTAATTTTTGGTCAGGACCTTACCCCAAAACAGATTTGCATGGTGGACTCGGAGCTACGAGCGTGGCCTCGTTTCGCTCGGCCTCCTTCGGACCCAAAGAGACGGTCAACCAGTGTGGCGACGGCACCGGACGGGCCCTCCAACAGGTACATCAGACTGGGACTGTCATGGGGTTCTAGTGGCGAATGTTGGGGTTCCAGGTGTAGGTACTGTACGTCCAACTCCAGTGAGGAGTGAAGTGACAGAGCCCGTCCGTTGGGGTTGTCTTGTTTTTGGGCGACATCCAAGTGATCACAAGTCAAAACAGAAAGGTGGTGATCTTCTGTGGTGTGATGGTGGAAGATGGTGACTTAGAGCTCCCAAGAATCGAACCTGTTTGTTAACAAACACGCAAACTTCTGTTGGCGACGATTGTGACCCGCCCTGTCATTGCAATCGTAGAATTATAGGAAGCCGCATGTAGCTCCCGAAAAGGCTCCCACCTTGGTTTCATGACCACTATAGCAGCCTTGGTTTTCAGATGGCTATGGCTCCAAATAGACGCCTGGCTACCACCTTAAAGACCGGGAAACAGCCCGGAAACAGCAACGCAAGTTGCAGCCCGCGTTGCCGTTTCCATGGTTGCTACGCATCTAAAATCACCTTCATCCCCGGCGCCTTCATCGCAAAGTTCCTGGGGTTGCCGCTTTTCACCTCCACCACTCCATCCACGTCGAGCGCATCGATCTCCGCCGCAAAGAGGACGTTCCAAGAATCCTCTGACCGACCGGGCGACCCACGGTGGACACGGTGGGACCGAGGGTCCAAGGGAAACCAGCAGAAAACATGCAAACTCCGACTCTTGGGGAGTTCAGTACTGGTTTTCTTGGTTTGCAGACGTTTGGCATGTTCGGTTTCGAACCACATGGTATGGTGAACGGCTGGTGTCTGAAGAAGAACCGACTGTCTGACTGTCGATTCATTCAATACGTTGACATTGTGCCATGGTGAACGGAGGCCAACCGGTGGAGCTCTGTCACATTGATTCCCAGGCACAATCGTCCGCCTTGTCAAATGCTCGTGCTTCCGCACATCATGAGGGCCTTCCAGGCGCTCGCCTGTGACCAAGCGTTCGAACTGGAAGCCGATGTCCCCATAATTCTGCTGATACTGCTTGGATTTGGCCACGATGATCGTGTGACCCCACGCGCTGGACGAGGTACCTGGTACGCGGGGTGTGTTCGGAGTGCAGCTTGTGCCCCTTCGAGCTCCTTTAGCTTCGAGCTTGGTTGGAACACGTGTGGCTTTGCCCACTGGATGTGTAGTTCATCTAAGAGTTTCTTTTAGAACCACTCCTGACGCGAAATATATCACAAGCATTCACAAGCCAAAGGTACTTGTCACCTGCTTCGATCCGCTTGGTGGCCATGATGTTCAAGCTTGATCCACCGAGTAAGAAGTCGACTGAGTCCAAATCAACACCCATTTCCTCCGGCAGTGCCAAAGACATCGGTCTTTTTCCGCAGAACCGAAGACACTGTGAGGCCTTCTTATGTGCCGGTGTCTCTTTGTGAAGGTCTACCCAGGTGTTGTTCAGTGCTGAATTCGCTGCAAAACTGCCCTAATAACAAGTCTTGGGGTTCTTCAAAGCCACTGCAAACAGACAACGTGATACAGTAGAATAAACTGCTCACCGGGTGGGTGACCCAGAACCTCAGTTTGTCGGTGAATGCGGAATTGGACAGAAACCATCTGCGAACCAGCTTAGCAGGAGCATGGTCAGACTCGCCTTAGCAGGATCCAGTTCAATTGGTACAGGTTTTAAATCAAAAACTCCTGTCAGGCTGACATATTTGTTGGGGCACCAGTATTCCTCGTTTGTACCATTTTCTGTGGGTAAATCCCAATAAGGCCCCTTTTCTTGCAAATTCCTCATGTGCTTTCATTGCTCCAAACAGCTGGGAACCACACTGGCCTACTTCATGCGTCATTCCTCCAGCAGCCCATAGCATCTTCCACATTCTCCATTCACTACTTGAAAGTCATTATATATATATATATCTCAAGGCAAATGATGTTTGACTTATTGAATCGTCATGTTTTTATGCCAAGGCCGGCCCAAACCCATTTTCTGGATTCAACGTCCGGGGTTCCTTCGCCATATACAGGGACACCACATAGCCGGGGTCGTGCGGGAACATGTTCAGGGCGCTTGGGCCATAGCAGCGCTCCGGCTGCAGAAAGGTCCTGCAACACGCTGCCCCGACTGCCAACGGATGCACTGGCAAGTTGAAGCGCTGGCCGAACACCTGCAAGTACTGGTTGGTTGGTACAGGTTTTGTGTCGCGCACTTGGATTACATCCCACTGGGCCAGGTCGGCGGGCCACAAGCAAAACGGGACCCTGTGGGTTCGCCGAATGAAACAATGAATTTGCATGATGTTCATGTTGATGCCATGTGGGTCAACTGCAAAAAGACACCCCCAATGATGGTGATAGCCTTAAAAATCTCCTCAAGTCCCAAATGGAGCTCTTGATAGTGCCCTTGTATATGTGCTGCCAGAAAACCTGTTGTTCCTTGAAGGAACAGGGAATCTCCTGGATCATGCTTGTGTTTGTCACGAAACATTGAAGAATCCCAAACTGCTGCTATGCATTACGCGTGAAACAACAATCAAGTCACTGGTCTTCAAAGCACCTGCCTCTAGATTGGATTGTTCAGCCCTGTTCCGACTTACCGAGCCTTTCCAAGAAAGTTCATGGCATTCATCGTCGCTTCTCTTGACGTATGTGATGTGTGTGTGGGTCTGTTCAAACCAAACAATTCTCCCATTCTCTTCTCCCCCTGCCCAGGATTGCGCCAAGAGTCAGGGGACATCTCACCCTATCCAGTTGAAGCTTGGGAGGCTCGGTCGGTGTTTGCAAGCCTGGCGGGACGCAGGACGAAGAGATTGCTGGCACAGAAAGCGTGAATTGCTGGCACAAAAAAGTTTTGCAAGATCAGTTTCTTGTGAAGGAGACGATGTTGAAATTGAATGAAATCGACGTATTTCATGTTGGCCAAAAAACTAGCAACGAGAGACAAGACGTCTGTCCATAAAGAGGAGCAAACTTTGGTTACACCGCTGCCGTGGACGCCGGTTGCAAGACTGGCTATGTTGTCAGCATTAGCATTGCAAATCAAGCTTAACACCACATACACCATTCATGTGGTTTGGGCACACAACAAGTTTTGCCGGGGCTGCTCACAAACAAATCTGCCGGTTTTTCGGTCAGGATTATTGAGCCAAATCGAGCAGATCATAATCCAGGTCAAACTACCATGTTCTACCAGTGTGTGCAAGAATTGTTTTTGTCTACAACGGAGTCTTTAGTTGAAGTTTCATTGCCGACATAAAAACAACCTCCACTGCTGTGTCCTTTCAACTAAGTTAATGGAGGGTGACCAACATATTACCAAGTCAAAGCTTGGGAGTACAACACAAACAAGATCAGAAAAGAACCCATAACTGCCAATAACCTCAAAAGCTAAGAAGTGTTACTATTTGCGTTGGCTCGTCGAAGAACTTTCCCATTCCATCCAATTTCTTTGGATTGACCCGCGCCCATCCGCACCCCCGTCACCCCGTCCGCCTCGCTGAATGTCTTCCACGGTGACATCTTTGAAGCGCTTTTGCCGTCCGCCCTGGAACGAAGGCCAAGTTGGGCGACGAACCCTTCTGATATGCCGAAAAAGCTCCAAAGTCTACAGTCTACAGTAGACTGTGAATGAAGGTCGGTGAAGGGTCACAATCGCTAAATGAAGATGAATTCAGCCTGTCTTGTAAAACTGCTGCAGTTTCTGATTTTTGACAGTGCGCTCCCTTGATTGAAAACGCTCCCATACCCCCACCAAAGACACTCACATGGGTCCAAACAGCAAAAAGGACACGGTCTTGAGCCGAAGAAGAGCCGGTCCGGTACCAGAGCCCCACCTCGGGATTCCAGCAGTATAAGCCAACTTCTGTCGCTTCGGAGAAGCTCTGGAACTTCATGGTGGCGTGCCAAGAAGCTTTGAGATCTCTGAAGCCGAAACTGCTGATTGACACATCCAATACTCTTCATCAGCACATCTGCCATGTCAGGAGAAAACATATTGACATCATGACATCTTGTTTTGACCCATTTGAGAACACAATCCCGTTCCGCATCATGCCAGAAACCAGAGCGCGAAACAAACAAAATCCTGGACACCTTGTCAAGGCCCTTGCCCACCCGCAATCCTCGTTATTTGGCTCTGAACATCTGATAATGGTAAGAAAAAAACACGTATGACCAAACGACAAAGCCTCTAGCTCAAAAGACCCAATTACACAGAGATGTTCGTGTTCACCCATTGTTCCCACGTCACTCCAAATAAACCAAGAAAAAGAACAAGTCGATCAATCTCATATGTTTCTCGGCTTGGATGTTCTTCGGTGAGTGTTGGTGGTTTCAAAAGTTCAGCTACTTTCCCCCTTCCAAAGCAAACTCTGAAGCTTCAACGGCGGTGCTCTCGCCTGCCGTCGAGCCCTCCGGCCAACAGGCGCGTCCTCGCGGCCGCCGTGAACGCGGTGCGGCAGACGGGCCGAAGCCGGTGAATGTGTTTGCCGTTTTTGGGGTTGCAGTTGCAGTCGGATGAAAGCTGGGAAACTACACGGGCGATCTTGAAAAGCAGTGCTTCTGACTGACCAAAAAACACCCCACACCTGCCCCCCCGAAGGAACATAGAATAGAACTTAAACTGAGCCTAAACTGACCTACCCCCCTCCAGGATGAACATGGGGTTCGCATGAGTTCGCTGTGCTTTGTCTAGATTCTAGATTCTAGATGTGGAACCACATAGCCGTGCCCGTTTTCAGCCAGTTGAGATCTCTCTTCCCTCCACCCGTGCTGCTAACCGTGTCTTTCCAGCCCCTTGCCAAAGCGAATCCCCCTTCGCTTGAAAGCAATGACCTGGACTTCACTTGGTGAAGCCACCAAAGAACTTGGCCTCACAGCCGTCCCTACAGTATTCTCTGTACATCTTCCAGTTTTTAACGAGCAACGAATCTGGGCGCTTCAGTTCGCGGCTTTCAGCTTTCGCCTCCAGCTTCTCCCTAGCTTTCTCAAAGCCACTTCCTTTGGAGTGCTTGACATCAGAGGCTGCGATGACCTTCCTGGGCAAGAAAGTTTGGCAAAGGCTTTTTGCTTTTCCCCCCAGATACTGAGAGCTATTGGGGTTCCTACTTCAAGTATAGGTGCACCTCTGCGCTTTCGAGCCTGGGTGCTGGTATCGCTGGAGGGCACCGCTGCTGTGTGCACTTGGGAGCTTGGGCGCTGGTGGCCCTGGGGCCGCTAGGGTGCTGCTTGGGTGCGGCTGCTGTCTGCACTTGGGAGCGTGGGTTGAGTGCTGGCGCCCCTGCAGGTTGCCGCTGCTGTGTGCGCTTGGGCGCTGGCGCCGCTGCAGGGCGCCGCTGCTGTGTGCACTTGGGAGCTTGGGCGCTGGTGCTGCTGCAGGGTGTCGTTGCTGTGTGCACTTGGGAGCATGGGTTGGGCGCTGCTGTGTGCGCTTGGTGCCGCTGCAGGGTGCTGCCGCGAAACGCGAGCGAAGAAGCCGCGACAGCTTGAATGCTATCTGGGGTCTATGCTGGCGTAATTCCAGTCTGGGTGGATTTCGTACTAAGTCTTAGTTTACAAAACACGGCAAGAACGACAAAAGCAACATAGCAACAAACCTATTCAGTGTGATCACAGGGCGAAAACCAATTCAGTGCTTCACCGTCTACCTCGTCACCAGCATGCCCAGCACCTTGAATTATCACATCTATCTAGCAGCTATCACGTGCAGCAGAGCTTCGGCTTTGGGATCGCATACAGCTCCACCTGGTATGCAATCTTCTTCCCATTGTCATCTCGCTTCTCCGCTTTGATGACCCCAAATAGCTCGCTGTCGCCCACTTTCGCCACACAGAAGAAGCCCACGACATTCTGCCTTTGATAAGGAAGGTTCTCCTTCTCTTTCCGAATGGTTCGGATGACCATTCTCACTCAATGCTTCGGATGACACGCTGTCTGTCGTGGTGAACCGAAAGAGCTCTGGAGGCGAGCACTCAACCAATGTCATCCGTCTACGTGCTACTTCATCGAACTTCGTTGATTCCAGCCCACCTTCGATGCTGGAGCCCAGTTTCGCGTCTATTTCACTGGTCGATGAACCGAAAATGGGGCGCCCAAAAGGTCGGAACGGGTGTCGGTCTCCCTAGGTGAGCCAAACCACGCTCAGCTGGGAAACAGGCACCGAACCACACGGCTCGATCCGGCCTCCACGGCCGACTCGCGGCGGGCGGCCGCTGTTGGACCGAGGGCCGCGGAAGCGCCTCACGGGTGAGGGGACCGACAGCGAAGAAAGTGTCACTTCACTTGAGGAGATGCACGAAGAAAGGAATGTGATATGAGATGAACCCAAAATAACATGGCATAGATAGTAGGTGGTATGTGTAAATATGCATACATATAGAGATATATAACTTCTTGAAGAACTTCTTTGATACAAACAAAGAAGACAAACATCCAGTGGCCACGACTGGCATTGCCATATGTATTGTGGTCTTCAATCAAACATCGTGACATCTTTCCAAGCCCTTCTCTAACCAGCTCCGTCCAATTGCATAGCAGAGTCTGCTAGCTTTCCTTCCAACACGACAAGGGTTCGCGGCCCAAGGGTTCGCAGAGTCGGGCGCAGTGGGCAGCGTGGTGTGGGCATGCAAAGGTTCCGCCCTTTCCAGGCAACCAGCGGTCGTTGTGTGTGTGTCACCCTTGGAGTCAGAGGGATCCTTTTGGATTTGTTAGCTTTCCTTTTTACTGTTTCCACAGCAGGGGGGACTGTCTACCCCACAGAAGTGACAGTCCAACGAAGAGGCTTCTGTGGTGGTACTGATATCACTGGAGACGTCCAGTGACGTACCTGCAGTTTTTACCTGTGACACTTCATCTTGGGCCCTGCTTTTAACTAGAACAAGGAATCCAGCCTTTGCAGCGGTTCTTCATCCGCAGACTCTGCACGCTCCGTCGTCCTTGTCGCTCGATCGCTTCGTGGTTACAACTTGGAACCTTGGAACTTGGGCTTTTTCTTCGATTTCCTTTCTTCGATTTCCTTTCAAGGTTTCCCTACCTGTACCCTTAGGAAATGGAACCCTAGGCCGGCGTGTGGCGCCGCTGTCAAGTCAGTACGCATATCCATGAGTGTGTTTGGCTTCGTGCCAACCCGGGATGAGCCCGCAGAGTGCCTCCCGTGGACCCGTCGAACGGGTGTACGTCGTTATCTCCCCTGCCTGGAGATGTACGTGTCCGCAGCGGACAGCAGGTGGCCTAGGCCGTACGTCCGATGATTTTTGTCTCATCTTTGGAATTCCAAGTTGGCTTATGCCTTTACGTGACCGCAGCGGTCAAAGCAGCCAGCCATTTCGGCAAGGCACAAGGTGACCACAGCGGTCAAAGCCAGTTTCTAGGTTCATTGGAACCTGTTGGAGCCTTAGTTTTTCAGTTGATCCTCCTCCTCCCGCCATGTTCCCTTCTCCGGTTGGCCTCAACCCCGTGGACGGCATCACGATGAGGGCCCAGACTATCCTACATCGCGAGATTCTTCATCTACATGGTTTGCTGATTCTTGCCGTATCCCTCCTGCGCACCCGTTTCTCCATTCTCAACCCTTCGTTCATGGACTACATCACCTCCCCACACATTCAGCTGCAAATCCGAGGTCTGGACTCTGCGATTCGACAGGCGACTCAGGCTATCCACAACGGAGTGCACTATGTTCACGAACTTCTTACCACCTTTGGGATGATGCACGCCTTGAACTGCGACACTACTCAGGTGGACGCTGAATTACGTGGATGCTCGACCTTTCCTGACCCTCGTCTTCCTTCTTTTCCCACGATTTCTGCCTCTCCTCGGGGCCCGGCTACGACACGGAGTATGCCATCTACCAGTTCCTTTCCGGGCGCATCTACGATTCCTCCGCCGAGAACCCCCTCTGCTCTTCGTCCACGCAGGCCGGTGATCAATCGATCCAGTACAGCTCCACCACGCTCCCGGTCTCACTCTCGTTCGACCCCTAGGAATCTCTAGGTAGTTTCTCGCTTATTCTTCCACCTTGAGTTCAAAAAAACTTCCTTCACTCTTACTACCAGCAAGTTTCATGCGACTTGATCCGTGATTTATTCCTTTGCCTTCACATTTTACACTCTTGGTTTTACATGGCTCTCAGCTTTCCCATGATCTACACCCCTCCATTTGGGCTCGCCTCCATCCGTCGCTTCGCTGCCATGTCGCTGCCACCCTCGACGACATCCACTCGATCTACGGAAGTGACTTCAACCCCCGGTCTACCCGCTGTTGCTCATGAGGTACTTCATCGTGAACTGCTTCATCTACATTCTTCTCTACATTTGATCCTTCTGATCCTACGTGGACCTTTCGACTCCGTCACTCCATCCGTTGTGGACACGGTCACCTGCCCTCGTCTCAGTGCCAATCTCCGCGCACTTGAGACCTGCCTTGAACAGATACGACGATCTACCTGTACTACTTTGGTCTATGCCAACGAACTATGCTCCGCCTTGGCCATTCCACATCTTCCCGGGCAATCCGCTCCTACCACCTCTCCCACTCCCAGATCTTCTCTCGTTTTCCTTCATTCTCCTCCTTCTCCACCTGGAACGACGACGGGGACTACGACTACAGCTCCTATCTCCACCATCCCTCCAACTTCTCCTCCCACCCTCATCTTTTCGGATTCACCTACGACTCTGCCGAGGATGCCGAGATCACCTTCTCCTTCTCGTTCACGCTCACCTCCGCGACGATTTAGGTTTTAGCTGATTTTTCACCTACCGAACCACTTACGTTTGCGGAAAAGCACTCATTGCACACTTTCTGGTCTCAGTTTTCGTCTTTCTTTTTCCTGTTTTTTGATTCTTTTACAGGATTTGATATTCACTGCCTTCACTCTATTCTTTTACCTTACGCTATCTCCGGCTTTCCAGCGATCGCTCGTCTCGCCCTTCCATTTCTTGCTTCATTCCCGCTTGCCATGGCATCGACATCTACACCACTCTGCGGCCTTGCACCGATTCATGGTCTTCCACCTCGTGCTCAAGGAATGCTATATCGAGAACTTTTACTTGTACATGTTCTTTTGGCCCAGGTCCACGCACTGCTCCGGATCCCTCTTAGTATTCGAACGACTCCGTTTATGTCTAGGGTGACCAACCCACAACTTCGAGCTCACCTTGAAGGCTTGGACAATACCCTTCTTCTTGCCCTACGTCTCAAGTCTCAATCATACTGCCGTCCACTACACCCACGAGCTCCTTACCGCCCTTGGCCTCATTCATATCATTCGACAGAGCCCGCAGCAACTTGAAGCTGAACTCGAAGGTCGCACAGATTTCACAGACTTCATCGATCACACCCCACCTCGATCGACTACGACTTCCTCGCGCACTCCTAGGACACGTACCACGGATGCCCGGATGCCTCTCTCTCCTAGCCCTACGCCTTCTCGCCATGTCCCACGACCTCGTCTTCATATTCGCTCGCGATCCCGTTCCCGTTCTCGGATGCCTAGATCCTAGCTTTCTGGTTTCACTTTACAACTGGACAGGCCGCATCAAAAAAGACATTGAGCAGACACTGATCCCATGCCAGCGATGCTCTGCTTGATTCTTTTGGTTCCACCTCCTTCTTGATCCGATGTAGTACATTCTTCCTCTTGGCTCTAGACTGTGTGATCAATATTTTTCCACATCACAGGTTCTTTACTGCACTCACGATTTGAGGTGTATTCCTATTGTTACTTTCTCCTTTGCTTCTATCTCCGGGCGTTCTGACCTCATGGCGAGTTCATCTTTGGAATCTACTCGTCCTCATTCACGACGTGATCTTCGCCGCAGCTCTCGCTCCCGAGATACCGGGCTTCGTCATGATGATGCCGACTATGGCGAGGACGAGAACACTCCTTTACCATCCGTCAATCCACCTCCTGGCACAGAAATTGCACGCGGCAATCCAGATCCACCACCACAGCCTGAATCTACCACGGGCGATTCTTCTCACCACAACAACACCACTCCTACACCACCCTCCAACCTTCCCTCTCACCAGTCTCCAACTTTCCCTCCCACTCCACCTGCACATCTTACCACTCCATTCTTCCCACCACCACGTGTCCCAGCACCACGCCCACGTTTTCCTCAACCACGGGCCTCGGGCCCACAGCCACTCAATCCGTATGGACAACGACCACGTCCCAGACAGCCCTCCCCACGCGATCGTCGCACATCACGGACGTCTCGACACCATGATCGCCACCACGATCGCCGTCATGATCGGCGTCGCTCACACAGGAGCCGTTCTGCTCATTCTCGCCGACATCGGGAACGTCGACGCCGATCACATTCCCGACGGGACACCCGCCACAGTCGCCGTTCACATTCTCGGCGACACCACTCTCGCGCACGCCAACGGCAGCCAAATGACGCACCCGCTTCCCAGGAACACCACCGCACCACCAATCCTCCCCCTACACGTTCCCGCTCTTGCCATTCAACTCACCACCGCGACAGACCACACACCACCCAACCAGCACCACGCGCCAATTCGCACGCCACACCAGGCTCACCTCCTGCCTCGGCTCCTCCCTTGGTACTGCTTCCGGGACCTGGTGATCGACCACTTCCGCAATCTACACATCCTGCTTCCACATCAGCGTCACGACCTACTACTCCACCACAAGCATTTCAACCACCTCCTTCAGTTCCACCACAAAGTACCCTTCCACCTGCTGAAGCTGAGGAACTTCGACAACTTCGCATTCAATTTCAACACCAGCAACAAGCTGCTCACCACCTACAACAACAGGCCATGCTTCACTCTTCTTTCAATCCTTTTCTCTCTCCTCTCCAATTCTACTTTCCTCCAACCTTTTCCACTCCCACAGCTCCACCGCCCCACTCACCGACCGGCTCAGCACCCTCCAC